ATGAAAACTGCCTGTGTTAAACATCTCACTATCAGGATGTCGTTTTGTGTAGTGGCTTTCAAACTTGTTATTGTGATTAATTGAAGACATCTTAGATGGAGATCCAGAACATGTACGTACAGGCAAACACAACAAAAGTTTCACAAAACAATAGTAACCCTTCTTACCTCTTATATATCCTGTGACAATTCTATTGCATTAAACCATGCAGCTTGGAACCCCTTACGTTAATTTTATGACCTGTAGTTTGAGAAAAAAAATTATCTAGTGAACCTGTCAAAGAATATCAGTCTTTATATAGCACCTGGCACCATGCCAGGTACTATGGGAGACAAAGAAATATTTAATGATACTTCCATTTTCCGAGAAAGAGAAGAGTGAGAGGCATTAGAGAACAACCCCATATGACGTGGAATTCACAGCCACAGACTAAAAACCAGTGGAAACAGATAATGTAAGTGAAGACTTTTATGGAATAGCTGAATCATATCCAGGCCTTCACTTTGATATGAACTTTTGTTGGGGAGATTACCTATTGTGGAACAAAAGTAGTCACATAAAATAAATGCGATAAATGCATATTCCATTCACATAAAGCTCAAAAATGTGAATTCTAAACAATATGTTTTTAAAGGAAATATACGTATTTGCTAAAACTATAAAAAAGGGTTTAGCCTTTTTTGATTAACATAAAAGTCAGGATGGTAGTTATCTCTGGTGAGAGGGAGGGGAAAACATCTGTAAGGAACACAAGAGGGAGTTTCTAAGATACTGAAGATGCTCTGGGGCTTAACCAGGGTATTGTTGTTGTTGCCGTTGTTGTTGTTAAAAATGAATGGATGTTTCCTACACTCTTCTGTATGAATGATATATTTCATAATAACATAAAAAATAGCAAAGAAGTTTACCGTAATTGCCTTCTTGATTCTTTATCTCTTCTTGGTAATTTGCTTTCTGGTTTGTTAACCCTCCCTGACAAAAGGGGTCTTTTCAAGGACAGAGACGGAAATGTACCTAGTGTCAATATTTTAGAATAGCCTGTTAAATACTTATAAATGTTAAAACATTCTCCTTATGTTACATGATCTATTCTTGAGGATGAATTTGGATTTTAGAAATAGTCAAATCTGCTAATAAGCTGTGTTCTGAAATTGGATAACTTCAAAGAACAGGACTACCCAACAGTAGAGCATTAATTAAGTTATGGTACATTCTCTGCCGTCATTCAAAGTCATGTTTTAGAAAAACTTTTAATGATTTTGGAAAATATTTACTAAGTGTTTTTAAGACAAAAGAAAAACTACAGGTTATCAAAACACATGGAAAACCTATTTTGTAAGAAGACTGAAAGAATGTGACCAAAATGTTTTTTTTTCCCCGTGCCTTTTGAATTGTCCCAGTTTTCTACAGTGGCCACATACTAGTTTTTATAAATGTGGTCTGGAGTAAGACAGTGGTCATTTATCTACATTGAAGACAATTTAAAAAGAGGAGTATCGGAAATATTTTGAGCAATGGAATGAAAACATGACCTGTTGAGGTGACTACTCTGATAGGTGACACTTTTTAAATATATTAGGTCTGATATATTTGTTTAAACATCAATCACTACTTTCAAAAAATAGACATTATTTTTTTAGAGCAGTTTTAGGTGCACGGCAAAATCGAGCGGAAAATACAGAGAATTCCCACAGACCCCCTGCTCCCACACACATACAAGCCCCCCCCACTGTGAACATCCTGCACCGGATGTGACACATCATTATCACCCATAGTCCATATTTTACATTAGAGTTCACTTTTGGTATTGTACATGATATAGATTTTGATGACTGTATCCACCATTATGATATGATATAGAATAGTATCACCTAAAATCCTCTGTGCTTTGCCTCCCTCCATCTCCCCTAACCCCTGGCCACCACTGGTCTTTTTACTGTCTTCATTGTTTTGCATTTTCCAGAATATCATATAGTTGGAATCATACAGTATACAGCCTTTTCAGATTGGTTTCCTTCGCTTAGTAATATGCATCTAAGGTTCTTCTATGTCTTTTCATGGCTTGATAGCTCATTTCTTTTTGGCACTGATTAATATTCCATTGTGTATCACAGTTTATCCATTCACCTACTGAAGGGCATCTTGGTTGCTTTTGGCAATTATGAATAAAACTGCTATAAACATCGGTGTGCAGGTTTCTCTGTGAACACACAGACTCTTTTGGGTGAGTACCATAGGGTGTGATTGCTGGATCACATGGTAAGAGGATGTTTAGTTTTATAAGAAACCACCAAACCGTCTTCCAAAGTGGCTGTACCATTTTGCATTCCCACTAGCAACGAATGCTCTACATCCTCACCAGCATTTGGTGGTGTTAGTGTTTTGGATTTTCACAATTACAATTGGTGTATGGTGGTATCTTGTTGTTATTTTAATTTGCCATTCCTTGATAATATGTGATGTTGAGCATCTTTTCATGTGTTTATTTGCCATCTGTATATCTTCTTTTGTGAGGTGTCTGTTCATGTCTTTTGCCCATTTTGAATTAGATTGGTTTTCTTATTGTTGAGTTTTAAGAGCAATTTGTGTATTTTGGATAAGAGTTTTTTTAATCCGATGTGTCTTTTGTAAATATTTTCTCCCAGTCTAAGTCACTACTTTTTATGTTATGTATTTTATCACTTCAAGGACTATTATAATTTTCCTTTAATCCTCTTTTCTCTTGGACTTCTGAGAACCCCGATTTTATTTTAGACTTAATTCAAAGCAAAACATTTAACTAACAACAACAAAAAATGTGTGTAAAGATGTGATAAATAAAATGCTACTTCATTTTTTTTTAAAAAAACAGTAACTACCTTTTGAATGACAGAAAACAAAATCAATTTCAGTCGAACAAGTGGTACTTACTATACTTCCTTCACAAGCTCTTTAAAGTACAAGTTGCTTTATGTGCTGTGTTTTCTAGTAATCTGAATAAAAGCTTATCACCGTATACAACGAAACTTGATTTGAATCATTTTGGATGATTCTTACAAAAGAGTTTAGCATTTTACCTGCCTATTCAAACAGCAAATATAGAACACAATTGAACCTCTTCATTATGACGTTGAATCACAAGAGAAAGTGCATTCATAAAATAAGAATAAGATGTTGTGGAAAAGGAACAATCAGAGAATAAGAAGAAACTCTTGGAAATTAAAAATATTATTGTCTAAATAAATTCTGTACAATGGTTCAAAGACAAGTCCAAGGAAATTTCCCAGAAAATAGAATAAAGAGACAAAAATGAAACATTACAGAGACAAAAAAGAAAATTAGCAATAGGTACATAGAAAAGTAACCAATTTTTTTAAATGAGGCAATTATTCATTTCAAAAAATAATGTTGTACAGAAATGGAAAAGTAATTATACTTTTTAACTCAGCAGAGAACATTATTTACATGATCATGATAATCTAAGCAATTGATATACCCGTAAGGGGAGGGGAGGGTGAGAAGTGTGTAAAACAGCTTAATCCTCATCTACCTTATCAGGAAATGAATAGATATTATCTAATATTCATGTATCTGAAACAGTGATAAATTTAGAAACATGGAGGTAAATGTCAGAAGAAACAGCTAAAGTAATTAAAGTTGTTGCCTCTAGAGAATAAGGGGTGGGGTGGGGTAATGGAGTGGAGCAGAAGACTAGTTTTTTCTTTAAAAATGTACAGTATGATATTATTCAACCTTAAAAAGGAAGACAATTTTGATACATACTACAATATAGATGAACCTTGATGACATTATGCTGAGTGAAATAAGCCAAACACAAGAGACGAGTACTATATGAGTCCACTTATATGAGGTATCTAGCATAGGTAAATTCATAGACACAGAGTAGAATGGTGGTTGCCAGGGGTTAGGGGACGGGGGGTTGAGAGTTATTATTTAATGAATACAGAGTTCAGTTGGAGAAGATAAAAAAGTTCTGAAGATAAATGTAGTGATGGTCATACAACAATTTAAAAGTACTTAATGCAACTATCTAAACTGTACACTTAAAAATGGTTATAATGGGAAATTTTATGTTATATGTATTTTACTATTATTTGTTTAAAAAGCAACATAAAATAAAAATTATAATACTATTTGTTTTTTAAATAATGGTATGCATATTTTAATTTTATTACATTAATTTTTAGAATGCTTTGGATGAATCCCTGAAAACTTTTTCTATGTCATGCACGTGAGTGTTTGTGCATAAATTTTATGACATAATTTGGGCCACTCAGGGGCCTTTTCTGGTCTTATCCAGTTCTTACCTGTGTTCTCTTTAGGTAAAGATGTTAGATAAGTTATTTTCAAATAGAGAGATATTACCGAAAGTATTTTATGAATACATTTCAGGATAAGTTGAGATACCACATAACTAACTGTAGCACATCAACACTGTGAATAAATGTACAAATTCACCAGTCTGAATAAAGACATTATTATGCAGGAATATCCCTTTTATGGCTTCCGTTACTCTATTGTAAATGTTTGGCTGTGCAGTTACCCCGGAGTGGTTTATTGAAACTCACCTCCATGTTTGTGTAGGGACCGGGCGGGACTCTGCGTGCACTTAAGGTGTAATAGCAGGTGAGCACCTGTGATGTCAGAGCTGATTTCTGGTTCACGAGTTTAACTTTATCATCACTTTCCTTAACCTGGTCCAAACAGGAGGGTTATAAGCAATAAAATGCCAATTTGCTTGGCAGTAAGAAGTTAACTAGTAAAGTGCAATCCTAATATAATTCATGATCCCTTCAGTTTCTAATTGAGAAGGCAGCTCTAAGTAGAAAACAGCAATGGAAAACAACTTCACATATCCCAAGAGACATCAAACTGCCTTCCAACCTTTAAGTTATGCTTCTTGGTTTTGACAACTTATCTTTACCTTCGAGGGTTTATTGCTATTAGAGGAATGTTATATCTCATTATCATCCCATCTAAATCTTCCTTTTTGTTCACAGTGCGAGATGAGAACAGAAGCACGACGAAAAAATCTTCTTATTTTGATTTTGCATTATTTAACACAAGAAGGGTATGTTCTATTACAAATATTTACAGAAGTGATTACTCTCTTTCTCTGACCTCCACTTTTCCAGATACATGCTTTTCAAAACAATTAATAGACTTTATTTTTTTAGAGCCATTTTATATTTACAGAAAAATTGAGCAGAAAGTACAGAGTTCCCATATGCTAGTAACCACCTCGCCCAGCCAAGTCTCCCCTAATATTTACATCTTACGTTTGTGTGGTATGTTTGTTAAAATTGATGAACCAGTATTGGTACGTTATTATTAGCTGAAGGCCGGTTTACGTCAGGGTTCACTCTTGTGTTGTACAATTCCGGGAGTTTTGACAAATGCATAATGTCACGTATCCACCACTGTAGCATCATACGCTATAGCTTCGCTGCCCTAAAAATCCTTTGTGCTGTACCTGTCCCTGCCCCGCTCCCAGCACCCTAGACACATTTATTACCTCATTTACCTAGATATTTTTTGCATTGTGCCTTTGGAAACTATATTAACAACACTACCCAGCTTATGTAATACCTTCCTTTTCCTTTTCTGGTTCGAAGAAATGTAGGCCTTTCCAATGAGGTTCCCAGGGTCCCAGAGCTGGCTACGTGCACACAGATAATGTTTTAAATCTTCAACTTTCCTTCCTTCAAAATAAAGGGATTGCATATATCTGGGTGACCTATGCTCAACTCTCTTTTCCGTGCAATGCCCATTCTATAACTGGCAGGGGGAGGAAACTTGGCCACCTACCTATTATGGCCTAAGGAGTTCACACTGTGTAGCAGCAAAGCATGCATTTCCCTTTTATGCCACAAGATGGCCCCTTGCATTGTGAATCAATGAAAATTAGAGTTGATCATTTTCCCTGAGACCTGCTGGGAAAGGGACTTGTGAGTAGATTATAGAGATGAAAAGTTAACTACAGTATAGGTATTTTTAAGGACACGTCAGTGTCAAGAATTCAGCAAAGAGGATATATTATCGTGGATTAGAATAAGCGATCAGAGAAAGCTTTGAAGAGAGGGCAATGTGAGCTGGTCTTGAATATAGATAGGCAGATATGATGAACAAGGACGTTCTAGGCAGGGGAACAGAGAAAGAAGGGGTATGGTATTATTGGAACAATTAGGGAAACAGAAAGACCAGAGTTTGAATGTATGAGGGAGAATTGGTGAAATGAGACAGTGGAGAGTAATGGACGTGGGCTCCCGTAGCCCATACGTGATCTCCTTGGGCCTGAGTGCCTGTTCACAGCATCCCGTTTCTCCTGTTGTGCCTTGCTCGCTACTGTGTACGCCTCTTCCTGCAGTGCTGTCCTGTCACTTTGTTTGTGAAGAACCTCTGGTGGTTCTTCCTGCCAACCCTAGTAAGTTCAGACCTCATTCAAGCTCAAACAGTGTAAGAGGAACACACAGAAGCAGTTTTGTTCCCCTGATCAATTAGTTTAGGAAATACAGGACTTGCCATCATCTATTATACATTTTTTAAAATCAAAACTCTATGATCCTGCAAAGAGTTCAGAATATAATGTGATGTCAGTAAAAACTACAAGCAATCTATAGTGTATGTTCCCATCTTCCGATTCTCTTCTTGCTTTACAAGTGCATATATGTAAGTATATGCGTATTTAGTCATTAAAAAAGGTTTGGAACAATAGAAAAATTGTTAACAGTCATTATCTCTGAGTGGTAGAATTTTCTTTTGACTTGCCTGTATTTTCTAGCTTTTCCCATAAATTAGCCTACTAAACAAAGGTTATTCATGAAAAATGGATTTAATTTTTCTCTCTGTAAAATGGGGATTGAGACATTGTCTAGAAGCCTGGTGAGTCATCAATAAATATAGAAGCTAACTGAGTTTAGTCAATTGACATTTGCAAGTTCTTTAAAATTAGCAAGGTCGTTGGAAATAATCATGGCAACCTCTTTTAAGAAAGTTCAGTCTTTCAACTGGCCTGAATTTGGGACGATGTAAGAGCATAATAAAAAAGAATGTTTTCTCCTTTTACTTTCCTAGATTGAAGTCAAACAGAAAGAACTCTAACCTGCAGCAGAAATTCTCCATCTGAGGTCCTTGAATGAGCCCCTGAAATTGTATGCTAATTTGTGCATATTTACACATGTGCACACTTTCCAGGAGAGAGTCCTTGGTTTTAAAAAGAAGTTAAGAACTAAGAATTAAGACCCGGAAAATATTTTTCCTTTCAAAGGATTGTGATGCAAGGCCCTTGTTTTTTTATTGCTAAGACCATTTAAGTCAGACAGTTTTACAATGGAACAAGTTAAAAATGACAGTGAACAACCCATGATGAAGGTGCTACTTACATATAGAAGTAGTGTAATATGTGACTGATGAAAAAATTGGCAGGAATAATACATCCAATCAGATACTAAGTTTCCTCAATGATGTCGATCAACATGCCATAGGAATTTCCTTCAGAGCTCGTGACATATTCTTCTGAATTGCCTCAGTGATGGTAAATCTTGCCTTTTGGGGCTGAATTTAGGTTTTATCCATTGCCAAATGTTACCTAAAATGAATATTGGTGGATAAAGAAGTAATTATGTTGGGCAAATACACATTTCGGGCTAAATGAGTAACGGGAAATCATAAGACATTTTGTTCATTGACTTACTTATTTGACCTTTAAGCATTTCCAAACATGTTTTGAAAAAGGATGACATCATTAGGATAAGCATGTATCTTCCAGAGGCAACAGCTTTGAAAGACAGTATTTGGCTATATTTAACATATATGATGTTCCATACTCTACAAGGAGAATATAATGTTTTCTAGTTTTCAATGTACTATTTGATACAGGCTTGTTCTTTGTATTGAGTCTCTTTGAACTTTTAATGCCTGTATTTGAACTTTTTATTCTTTTTACTCAGAGTTTATTTTTTGTTGTTGTTTATTTTTCTTCTGTGAAACGACCAGATATATCGATGCAGCCAATGCTTTGGAGCAAGAAACTAAACTGGGGTTACGACGCTTTGAAGTTTGTGACAATATTGATCTCGAAACTATTTTGATGGAATATGAGAGCTATTATTTTGTAAAATTTCAGAAATACCCCAAAATTGTCAAAAAGGCATCGGACACAGGTACATGGCTATTTTCTAGAAGTAAAACATCATCTCATCTTTAAGATGAATGTTTCTTCCTCATTTTCTTCCCAGAGTGATGGTGCCCCTCACCCTGTACCGAAAGAATAGATCAGAAAGACCGTGTAGCTTCTCCTAGATCCAGTGTAGACAGTTTAAACATGATCATCTGGACACGAGCATTCCTTTAGTTATGTTGGCGTTTATTTGAGGAATGTATATTTTAGGGCAATGAAAGCAAAATCCCAGTGTATCACAGGTACTTTTCAGAAGACCAACATTACTTTCATTTCTTTAGAGATGGAAAGAGCTGTTAGAAGAGGATAAATGATAGAAGACTCTTTTCTTGTTAGGAAGACCTATTATCTATCTTGAAAATAACATGAAAATGAGTATTGGTAAAGCTAATAGCTCATGTATAGATAATGAAATGCTTTTGAAAGCCATCAATCCAGATAATGATCAATTTAATGCAAAGACCCAGTATAGGTTAGCAGTCAAGGAGGCTGTCTGGAGGAAAGATCTAAAGTGAGGGCCCGATGTTTTGTAGTAACATTGACTTAGAAGTCTGTAAGTGGGGGGAAGTAATTATAAACCAAGGGAGATCATTGTCCTGTTTACAAGGCACTCGTTAAGCCACAGACTTTAACATTTCATGTGGGGACCAGGAAATCGAGAGGAACGTCAATTAAAAATAGCTAGGGCCGAATCTCTGAGCTGGAAAGGGGTCCAAGAGAGAGGTATTTTATTCGAGCTCCCTTCCAATGCAGGGTTCAGAGCTCGCAGTTCTTGGCTAGTTGTTGGATCTGGGTCTTGGCAGAGAAAACACTGACTCCTAACCTTTGGGCCGCCAGGTCTGTTACTGACATGATCTGATTTCTGGATCGCTAGTTATGATCTAGCTTGGAATCACATTATCCTGGGATATTGGACACAATGACTTTATTTTAAGGTAAACTGGCAGAGTAAATGGTCCCTGCCTGACTCATGTGATCATCCTGGTGTCCCACGGAGCACAGCAAACGGAATCAGGTTCATGAAAACCTAAAGCTAGCCTATAATGGAGTTGTCACTAGGTCTGTGATCCTCAACAAGTTTAATATCCCGGCCTTTGGGGTCTTCCTCTATGTGGACATGTTTGGGAAGCCTAGGGTTTTTCACTTCTCTCTAGCTGAGTTTAGCGTCTTTAGATTCCAAAATGCTGTAGCGCAAAATTTAAGAACTATGTAAAAGGACAAACATACCTAAAAAGTCACTTTCTCTTAAAAATTAAATTCTTTCTTTTTCCTCCCATTATCTGTTTTGCCACAGCAGAAAATAATTTACCACCAAGAAGTGGAGGGAAGAACAGAAGGTAAAGTGAATGGTAATTCATCTTGATCTACTCAACTCTAGGAGTTTGTGAGACTCTTTCCAGAAGATTCTCCGGTGTTGTTTCCATGACTGTCTACCAGCAATATCAAATTGTGGTCATGTGACCTTGGTGGGCCCAGCCATGCATTCCCCTCTTGTTAAAGATATCTAGAACTTGGGCCAGTGTCTGTTGGGTCTCCTGGTTTTACTGCAAATAATACTCTATCTTTCTAGGCTACATGGTATGAAAAGTATGGACCTCAGAGATTAAAAGGCTCAGGTTCTATTCCAGACTCTGCTACTTACAAGTTTGGAGCAAGTTTCTGACACATAGTGAGTTCCCAGCACAGAGTGAGCACCCAAGAAATATTGTTTTCCCCTTCTAAATCATGTCTGTTTCTTTGCGCATTCCTAGATCACATGTCCTGACTCACGTGAAGATAATCAGGACTTTCTTTTCTCCTCATTTCTCGTACTCATCTTAATATCCCTTCCTCCAGCTTCTCAAATCCAAATCTCATTTGAGACTTGTCGCATCTGATCGGAGCCCCTCTGTTCCTTGACCATGCTGAATAGACACGAGGCCCTCCACTCTTGCCTCAGTGTCCGTCCCATCCCGCT